AAAAAGAATTACTTCATTTGGATCAAATTCTTTAGCACTGTATTATGTGAATTTTTGACACACGCATTTTCGTAGCAGTGTGTTAAAATTTCACAGCGGAATTGATGATTTTGTTTTTACAAGGCCTTGTCTGTTTTTGGCCGTTTTGGTGTTACAGATTCTTATCACAGCTTTATAAAAACACCCGGCTTCTTTTTTTAGCATTAAAATGAATAGGGGCCACGAAAGCTGGAAAGCTGAAATTTTAGTAGAAGGTTCCCTGCCCACATGCGACTCATTAAATTTAAATTCAGCCTTCACGAACATACGGTTGGACGAAAGTTTTAGCGGAGAAAATTATTGGCGGAGAAAATTATTATGTCGGGGACTACGAAAGCTGGGAAGCGCTGAAATGTTAAGGTAATGCTCCTTATCCCACTACGACTCAACAAATTTAAACTAAACCAGCTGTGCGCCTGGGTATCACGTACGGCCCTATAAAAGTTTTGGCGGGGAAATCGCTATTTCGGGAACAACGAAAGCTAGGAAGCCGAAACTTTAGGATAATGCTCCCTGCCCTCGTACAACACCGCACACTCGGATTTAACTTTCACTTAATCCTGAGTCCTAAGTACGAGCCTGGGGAAAATTATTGTCTCGGGAGCGAGAAAAGCTGGGAGGCTGAAAACTTCGGGGGAATGTTTTTTGCTTATGCAGGGGTCTAACAACCTTAAACATGGCTCCGAAGTATGATAAGGTTTCGCGTAGGACCACGTGGAAGTTTTGGCGTGAAAGTTGCTCGGAAGCCAAAGAACTAGGAGGTTGAAATTTTGGAACATTGTCCAGGTCCAAGTTTTCAAGTTCACTTTGCATGGATTTCTGCGTTTTACGTGCCGATACGTAAAATTTTTGATGGAAAATTTCGCAGCTTAGGAACAACCAAACGGCATATTGACTATTTTTTCACTGACCAAAGTGTAAAACATTGAAAATCCTTGGGAGGCAAACGTCTGCTGGTCGAAACTGCACAAGACACATGACTGTTCCGGTGCGCAGGCAGCAATTTCTTTTTTATTTTTTTCTGGAAAAAGTGCCAAGCTTCCAGAAAAGTAGTAAACATGGAGGAGAAAAAAAACCCCTTATAGTGCTTGTGCTCGTTCTTTGACACGCTATTCTGGCATGATCTTTGGTGAGCTAAGTTGTTGCTGCTGGAACGGCGGCAATGTTCTTCATCCTTTGTCGGACAGTCATCCTCACTTCCACCTTCTTGTCCACCACATTCTTTACTTCAGGGATTCCGATCTCCGCCTTCTCAGACATCACTTCTTGCTCTTAAAAGTAATGTTTGTTCGGTTTGTTTGCAATAATAACTTTGCTAATTATAGGCTGCTTTTTGCATGTGAAAAAATGTGTATTTACGCATAACGCTAGAAGTTAGGATCGCTAGTAAGCCGACTACTGCCAGGCGATGCGTAGCCATTAGTTAAAGCGATCGGAGAAGCTTTTGTGTGCATGATTAGGAAACCAGGCTCTAAAGTAACGATGTATAATGGGTTATGAAAATTTCGAATTCCAGTCATTAAGAAGCAACGCAACGGTATAAGAGTAACTGGATATATTGCCAAAAAAAGTTTATTTAAAGGAAAGGAAGAAAAACTGTTAAATTTTTATTATGCTTGTGGTACTGAATAGGAATGTATGCAATTTGATGTACCGAAATATTCCTGTTCATTAGACTAATTTTAATATTTTATATATATCTTATAGGTATATTTCGTCATATTTCAGATATTTTTTTAAAATATTTTTCACTAAAACTGCACGGCCTGAGTCAGTGTGGGTATCCCATGTTGGTGATGTATAAAAAAAATCTGAAGCACGACTTTTTTTTT